CCCACCCCCACTTTTCCTCTTCCGCCCTTTCTCTCTCTCTCTCTCTCCCTTTTATCTCTCTCTCTCTATTTTTTTTTCTCTCTCTCTCTACCATTTCTCTTTCCCCTCTTCTTTTTCTAATTTTTTCGCCTCCTTGCCTCCTCTGTCCCTCATTCCATGTCCCCCTGCCACCTCCCCATCCCCTCTGCTCATCCTTCCCCCTCCCCTGGCCCCCCCGGTTGCCCCTTTCTCAGAAAAAAGGCACGAGATTGATAACATTTTGTGGAAGTATATCCGATCTTCTATCTCCATCTGTCTACTGGAATGCCCTGAATCCCACCTAGCATAAATTGGCCCTCGGCCTGCCACGTAAATTAAATGATCTGACTTGTTTGATTGGATGGAAAGCTCGTAGTATTTTCTTCCAACCCCCATTTCATTTATCTCTTCACTCCCGCCCCCCCCCCCCCCCCCTCTGTCTTTCTGACTATTCCTCCACCTTTCCCTCCCTCTTGCTCTCTTCTTCCCTCTTTCTACCATTTTCCCTTTTCCCACCCCTTCTTCCTGTCTTGGATTTTCCATGTTAAAATTAGATGCCTTTTACATGTACATGTGCTATATAAAGCGTAAATGGATGTTAACTTTCGGTCTTTTCCCGTTGAGTATGCTTGACGCTGAACGTTTCGTGTATTTATTCTCAAATGCATTTCTGAATTATTAAAAATAGAATACTCACATTCTATAGGCTTATTTTTGTTTAATTATGTCAGCGCTTGTCAACTTTCCATATTCATCACTTTTGCCACCTTCCATCATCATCAAGTGCCAGATCAGCAACAGACGTCGGTGATCATGGTTCACGGTTCATTTTTTTTTACTGGGATGATGTTCTCTACAAAAACAAACGTATGCAGTGTTCACCTCTGGCGGTCAGTTTGCTGGCGGTATGGCGGGGTAGACTTGCATTAATTAAATAAGGACCGTACAACTCTTGGCGGACGGTGAAAAGGCTTTTATGCCGATTCAGAAACTGCAATAGGT